CAACAGCACCTCTACCCTTTTGAATTGCTACTGGAGCGCTGGGCAGCGCTGAGGCCTGGCTGCTCCAAGTCCACCCCTTCTGCCTGAGGCCCTGCCCTTTCCAGGAGCAAAGGTGCTTGGAGCCCAGACCCCACTTTGCCAAGAAGCCTGGCAATTATGTCAGCCCCCCCTTCTGCTGTAGTTGAGTCTGCTGTAAAACTTGAACTGTACATATTTCTATAACAATAATTGGGGACCAACTGCAATTGAGGTCTTTGACTGGCACCACAAGATAAAATGCGTAATGACATTGGCTATAGTCATTACATCCAAGATGGAAATGAGACAGAGTGCTAGTTTGTTGGGTCTTCGCTTTGTAAGCACACAGGCACTCACATTTCTCACCTGTTTTTCACCACTTACCCAAAATATTCACTGGTGATTCTGCAGGCTTTTTCAGTGTTCTTGGTGTCTGTGCCATGTGCCACAGTCATGGGTAAAAAAATCTTAGATTTCCTCCACAAAGACCAAGTCTGACTTGAGAGACTTGTTGCTGACCAGTATGGCCCTTATTGACAACTATCAATACATGCTGCCATTTAGTACCCTTTAAAAGGAATTACAATTCATTTGTTGACTGTAAAATCTTCTGGCTAGAGACCATCACCCAAAAGGTCACACACAATTTTCACTGAATAAATAACATTTAAACATTTATTCTAGACGAACAATTTGGTAAAGTATTTGGTATTTTATTAAACTTATTTATTGTAAGATCAGTTTTTTTCCCCAAGAGAAATTAATGTCTCTTAGTTTTAAGCTTGATGTTTCTTTCAATATGTTATGTTAGCTAGCTGGAAAAGTCACATATTTAGGAGACTGTGAAGCTCTTTTTTTCAGGACTTATCTCTGGTCTGTTTCTAAACAGTGCTAAAAAGTAACAGCCCTTCCTCAGAGTTTGACTAAAACTGATGGCATTAGTAGACAGCAGTGGTTAGGCGGAAGGACAAAAAAAAATGAAGTGCACTGTTTATGGAGTCCCCAGGATCCTGTTTGCAAAGGTGAGTCCTCCTGTATAGCGCTCCTTTCCCATTCTGCAGCTTGATCAGGAGTGGCCATAGGAGGAGAAGTAAGAGCCTGAGTCTTCCCACAGCTATTTCAGATGCCAGGGTAAACACAACCCCACACAGACAGGTACTCTCACAGGGGAGAGGAAAACTTTGCACTTCTATGTTAGCTCAGTTACTTTCCTAGATTCCCTTTGATGTCTACATTCACATACATCACCTGTAAGGAGGTAGCATCAAGTATAAGACATTAATACTGGTAGAAGCAAAAGCAGTATCCAGTTGTAAGACACCTAGCTTAGAGCTGCAGTTGCTAACCCCTGCCAGATGTAAAGGTGTAGTCCCCTTACTAAAGGTGCCTCTGCTTATTTTCTGGGAAGATCCTGTGTGCTGCAATCTAGCCCACCAGACTACAATTCCCATGAACCCTAGAGGAAAACAGGAAGGAAGTGATTTTGTTTTGGGAGATCTGAGTCTCTCCACCTGTGTGGAGGCAGACTCAGCAGCCTATGGACTCTTTCCTTTGTTTTTTGGAACAAAAGGGAGCCAGGCTGCTGTGGAGTTTTTATCCAGTTCAGTAGCTGTTATGTTGCAGTTACAGACTGGGACAGAGAGCCTTTGGAACTGGGATCTGGAAGGCTGCTTTTGATTGCCCTAGACGGGAGGCCCTTTGGCTGTACTTGTGGCTAGAAGCTACTCTGCATCCAGCACACAGATGGAGACTGAGTAACTGGGCATCTTTGGGAAAATGCTGCCTGGGACAGACCTCAGAGATTCAGACTAACTGGGTTCAAAGAGAGGCAGAGAGGCCAACCCAGTGAACCAGAGCTGCTACATAGCTTGCACCCACATACACACTACCTACAGAGAATCTCCATTACAGCTGCAGTTCTTCAAGCGTGCCCACACAAGCAAGAGTCTGGGACTCTGAGTCCAGGGATGTGCACACTCTGGGGTGGGATAAATACAGGCAGTGCAAATGGCAGCTAAATAAAGTTCCTTTTATTTCTGTGTACTTTGTTAATTGATGTTTTTCACTGTTAATTTGTTAAATCCTATTTCTTTAAGTTAAGGTTGTTCATTCTAATGCAATCTATTAGATGTATATTATTTATGATTTGTAATTGTTGTTCTGGAGTTAGATCCAGTTCATTGCTGGAATAAGTTTATTCCTGGGGGTTCCCAAGGCCAGCCAAGTGGAGGCACCACCATTGTACATTATTTATGAGCAAAGGACTGCAGCAAGGGGGTGGATAGGTTTTCCCCAACCAAACAACATCACCACTGGGGTACTCACAATCTCCTTTTATGTCAAGACCATCAAGCGCCCAGGCACATCTGTGAGTGTGACCTGCTCCCTAGTAACCCAGGGAGGAAAAAGGGGGTTACAAGGGAAAGCACCAGAAAGGCATGCTGAGAAAAAGTTTCTATGAAAAGGGAAGCTCACGTGGAGGAGGAGCCCTAACAACCTGGCAATCATAAAGAAAGTGGCTTCTGAGAGAGAGGCTGCTTCTGCACAACACTGCCCACCACACCACCCATATCTGCCTACAACAAACATTCTCTTGGCTGTTCTGTTTCCTTCTGCATCTCATCGCTTTAGGCTCTCTCAACAATCCAAAGTCCTGCTACTCCGGAGACAGTGATGGGCATAGTGTTACCTCCTCCCCTACTATCAAAAGTGAGTATTAGAGATTTTACTATCAGAAGGGACTTCCGATACTCCACCTATGTTTTCAGTACATGTTCATAGTTCTGCCTGTGGATGCATTGGAAAGCCTCTCCCAAACTTATAGAAATGCCATTCTATATTTTGAAAAATTAGTGAGAAACTAACCCCCACTGAAATAAGGCAATGCCCTTCCTTAAGACACTGAGATCTCATGATGTCCATCTCAAACTTAACAATACTGAATATCATGTACTCTCCTGAGCAAAGAAGTTATGTTACTAATATTTGAAATAAAATTTGGCTGAAAGATGTGTTATGTAATATCAGATGCTTGTATTAGTTTTGGAAGATCTTTACCATTTTCTGGATATAATTTGCCTTTAATTTCTGCACAGTTACCCCTTTTATTTGTATTTAATTTTATTACCAATGGGCTGGTCTAATGAGAGCTTCTTTGCAAATAAGCCACATGCAAACCCAACCTCTAGCAAAACCCTTCAGGTAGGCCTACAGTACTCAAAGTCTATTAGATTTTCCCTGCTCCTGCCCCCAACCTTCACCTTAGAAATCATTTAATTTTAATTTTACAGCTATAGTTTTATAGTTGCCTCGTGAGCCGTGTGTAGTGCAGATTGGGGATCTGAATGGCTGTCACTCTGTAGGACTAGTTTACTTTTTGGGCCCCAAGGACTACTCAGGGAGGCCACAGACATACTCCCTGCACAAGAGGCAGATCATTCCACTCCCCAGAGGAAAATACTCTTGAACCACTAGGTTTACTGCCACTTTAATGGACAGGTACAAAATAGCTGCAGTATGGCCAAGAGAGCCTATTTTCAATACCCCACTGCCATGTATATTGGCCAAAATGGACAGTCTCTACGGGAAAGAATTAATGGACACAAATCAGATATCTGAAAAGGCAACACACAGAAACCTATTGGAGAACACTTTAACCTGTCTGGACACTCATTAATGGATCTCCAAGTCACCGTGTTGTTTCAGGCCAATTTCACAAGTCAAATACACAGGGAAGGGTTGGAACAACTTCATTTACAAGTTTGATTCTTGTCAGAATGGAACAAACACGGATATCATTGGCTCGCACACTACCTTCCACATCCTAATGACTTAACCAACCAACGAAGGTACCAATTGTTCTTATCAGCCTCTTGTGACTTGAACTATCTATTCACTGTCTTTTTTCCCTCCTTTCCCCCTTACTCTTCCTTTATTTATTCTTAGATCTAGACTTTTAATACTCCAGTCATCTGAAGAAGTGGGTTGGGTCCACGAAAGCTCATGATACCATCTACATGTTTTGTTAGTCTTTAAGGTGCTACTAGACTATTCGTTATTTTTAAGTTTTTCTAGTTACAGACTAAGGCTATGTCTAGACTGCAGGCTTCTTTCGGAAGAAGCTTTTCAGGAAGAGATCTTCTGAAAAAAACTTCTGAAAGAGAGCATCCACACTGTGAAAGCACTTTGAAAAAGCGATCTGCTTTTTCAACAGAGAGCATCCATTCAATGTGGATGCTATCTCGCATGTAAACTATGATTACTATGGGCAGAATGGCCACCAAGGCACCTGTGCTTTTTCCTCTTTCCCCTTCTTGCGAAAGAATTCCCTCTCTCCTGTCCACACACGTCTTTTTCTGAAAGAGCTCTTTTGGAAAAAGGCTTCTTCCTTGGAGAAAGATTTATCAATGTAGGAAAAACCCCTCAGTTCTTTTAATTTTTTTTTTCTCGAAAGAACGCAATTGCAGTGTGCACATAATTGAAGTTTTTTCAGAAAAACCACAGTTTTTCTGAAAAAACTCTGTAGAGTGGACATACCTTAAGTTGGCTGTAAGCTTTTATACATTTGGTTAGGATTGTTGCATTCCCAACATTTGTCTGCTTGTAGTGAGATTCTGCATTTGATTCTTATCCATCCTGTTGCACACAGAAGAGTATTCCTCATTTCTAAAGGATGTACTATTGTTTCTTCAGTAACAACACTTCCAAATTTGTGTTTGGTGAATTTCAATGTGTCCTTCCCTGTCTCGGCTGAGGAGTGACAGTGTTATTTTATGATCAAGCTGCCATGGTCACAGTTGTTCGTAAGCCTTAACTAGCTAAAACTTGGCAATAATGTAACATTTAAGTTTCTTTAATCACCTTTTTCAACCTTTGCAACCAGCCAAGTCATTGATAAATTTAGGATTACGTGTCCAGATTCCCAATGTTAAGTCTTATTCGAGATGTCCTAAATATAAAAACATTTCAATGGAGAATAAATGTCTTAAGAATTCAAAATATTTAATGTTACATGATAAAAGTTAAATGTTTATATGAAAATATATATCATGATTGTGTCTCTGTATTACTTTGTTTCAAATATATTCTTTTTCAGATACTTCATCCAGGCATCTTTTGATGATAGCTCCATGGAATTCCATTCAAAGTGAGGAATCTGTAAGAGAGTTTGCAGGGTAACTTACTGTTAACATTTATTTTTGTTAGACACAGTGCCAAAGTAGATATGTGCACACACATAATGCATGGCACCTTTTATTTAATCCTTGCACTCTCCATTTTAACATAGGCGAGGCTGAAAATTTTTATAGAAGATGTAGGTTTTTAATAGGCTTTGTTTCATTTTTAATATTAGGATTCTTACCGCTAAATGTATTTGCCTGATAATAGCTTGCTTTCACAGAATAACAGTGAAGATGAAAGACCAGATGCTCAGGTAGAATAAGATGGCATAGCACCATCATCATGTCATTTCTTATCTGAACTTCAAATGCCTCTAATTAAGGACTAACTCCTCCACAGTATAAACTTGCAATTTGCACCAGTGGAAGATCTGACCCTTAAGTTTTAAAAGCTGTCTCGGACAGGAAATGACATGATAAAAAAACTGTGTAACATACATCATCAGAAGAATACCAAAGGGAGAAAATTAAGGCTGTTCAAAAAACCCAGATCTCTAGTCCTCCATTGAAGCAACCGTGGAAGCAGCTTAGGCAGGACAGGTGTTTTTTCCACTATGCAAGGGTTAGTAAATGTCCATGCCTTGTCTATCCCAGCAGCACCAGTGGAGATTTAGGGGGTCCTAGCATAGAAAGCCCCCACTTGAACTGAAGTAGAGTGAAATTCACAATTTGATTCAGTGCATTTTAATGGATTTTTGCTCCTTTTCAATAGGGCTTGTTTCTACTTAGAGGTAGTTCCAGTCTGACATTCCTTTTAGAATGCAGCAATCACCTACCAAGGGAAGTGGCACTTCCTTTACTTTCTCTGTTTGATTCACTATGCTATAGTGGAGGAAGTGAATACAAGAGTTCTTGACTCCAGTTTTACTGCAGCTGCACCTAGTGAAGAGGAACTGGATGACACACTTGCCATAGCTATTCCCTCTGGGTCTGGAAAAAGACATTACAGAGCTAGCAGAATTCCTTGCAAATACCAGCCAGGTAAGCCCTCTTTTGTTAAAGGCAATATCCAATTTTTGAAGGGGACAGCTTAGAGAATTCCTTTGTACATACAAGTCCCAGTATAAGATACTGGTATTGCAGATTGTGTGCACCATACCTGAACCACCTCGTATCCCAAAATTTCCAGATGTCTTTTTTTCATCACAATTTTTCCTTTGAGGTGACATGAATTTTTGCAAAAAGATCTAGAATCAAGAAACTCCACAGCAATTCTGGTAACAAACAAAATAGTTACTTTCAAATATTGGTAGATCTAGTAATGATCCCCCTTTTGTCTATAATAGTGGTAGCCACACTACCATTAGACTAACCTGAAAACTAAAGTTAAAAAATTTAAAGAAAATTAAACTCATTCTTTGAGCCAAGAGACAATTTTCTTCATATTTACCTAGACAAACATGAACTTTAGATGGTTCCTAAAAGCTTTTCCTTTTCACCTCTCTGGCAATTGCAAAACACGAAAAACGTCAGATCAACATTTCCAAGATAGACCCTTTTGTTGCTTCTCTCTACATAACATTTGTGCATCTAACTACTGATTTGCACATATACAATAGTAAAAATATCCCTGAAAGTCATTTGTCAGCACAAACCCTGTTAAAAACGAAGTTCAAAGAGGACATCTGGAGTATAGGCATGAAGGACTTTAAAAGGCAACCAACTTGAAACCAGTCTGCCTTTGGAAGGGCAGCTAATGCAGCACAGGTGTAATAATAACTGCTCAAATTCAGGAGCAAATGTGTTACTGCACGTGGAATAAAATACTACTCATAGAAAAGCCCTTCTAGTGTATTAGCTGTGCATTATCAAACAGAGAGATGTACAACATGCCAGGTTTGTTCACTCAATGGGAGCACATGCACATTTTTTGGAAGCAACTTCTAATTAAGAATTTGTTGTTGCTATTAAAAAGTCAGAGTTTATTAACAATTACTACATGCTTGTATCTGAACAAGACCTACCAAAAGCAAAGGTTTGGCATCTCAGCTATTATTGGTAAAAGCTGACTTTTGTGAGCCAATCACCACACACTTTAAAACTTTATACTTTTCTGTGTCCTTTACATCTGAGACCCTTAAATCTTATATGTAATCCTTAATCCTCCACAGCCTAGTGCTGTCCTCTCAGTGAATCATATTTGCATTTTACAGGTGGGGGTGCCCGGAAATTAAGGATAAGGGCCTGATCCCTGTAGGTTCTGCACACCTGCAACTTCACTAGGTTCAACAGCAGTTGCAGGAAGTCTGAAAAGCAAGACCTTAAGAAGTCAGGGCTGTACTGCTAACATTTGGCATCTAAGTCATTCACTGCACCTACATACAGCCAAAGAGATGTTGATTTCCTACTTCTCAAATTAAGAGGAGTTTAAAAATGAGTTGGGCCATCCTGATATTAGCTGTTCACAAGGAACTGCTCTCACCTGCCTCGCAGTCAGTAGCACTCCTACTCACAAGAGGTACAATGTGTATATTAAAAAGTAACAGCCATCATAAAGGATAAGAATAAGCCTGAATATACAACTTGATTCATCTATCTAGAAAAATCTAAGTATAGAAAACCATGTACTAACCTCTGTGCTCCTGGCGGTAGCCCCTTCTTCCCCAGGAGTTGAATGTCTGGTCCCCATTGTACTAAGTCAGCCAAAACTATATTCTGATCCATATAGGGAAGAGGCTTTTTGTTTTTATCCAAAATGCATTCAAAATCTAAAAAATGCAATAACCCAGTACACTAATCAGTATAAAAGGGAAATGGATCTGATTTAATATTTAGAACATTTATTTTAAGAAAAACTAAGTTACTGCTGTTATCTAATGTTATTTGTGTTATGTAAGGCAAAGTTGGTTGATGTATTTTTTTCAAACTCACTTTGTATCCAGTTTGATGGCTTATTATATTTAAACACCGGGGCACAATCCTTAGGTACCCCAAATCTACATAGCCAACAAGTAACAGAGATGACTCATGCTTTTAATAACCCCTACAACAGTGGTTTTCAAAGTACAGTGGAGTCCGGATTAACTGACACCCGGTAATCCGACACTCCGCTTTATCCGACCCTGCAGGGTCGGATACAGCGCGGGCTGGGAGAACAGCCCCACTTGCTGCCCCATTGCTCTCTAGGAGCAGCTGCTGCTGCTTCTGCAGGGGAAGAAGTGGCCCCGGCAGGAGCGGCAGCAGCTTCTCCTAGAGAGCAATGGAACAGCTGATGCCGCTCCTGCCGGGGACGTCCCCTGCAGGAGCAGCATCACCTGTTCCACTGCTCTCTACAGTAGAGTCCGTATCATCTGACATATTCGGTAATCCGACCGTGTGTCAGTCCCATTTAGGTCGGATAATAGGGACTCTACTGTATGGGTTGCAGAGTGTCAGGCTACGTCTAGACTACAAGCTTTTTTCGAAAGAGGCTTTTTCAAAAGAATCTTTCGAAAAAGCCTCTTTTGAAAGACAGCATCTAGACTACAAGCAGATTTTTCCAAAAAGTGAGCCACTTTTTCGAAAGAGTCTACACGCTCTTTTTCCAAAAAGCAGTTTGCATTCAGTGGCGCCTTTTTTCGAAAGAGTACTTTAGAAAAAAAACTATTCCTCGTAAAATGAGGTTTACCATGATCAAAAAAATTGGTGCGTTCTTTCGATTTATCTTTGAAAGAATGCAGCTGCAGTCTAGACGCAGGTTAAGTTTTTTCGAAAAAATCTGTAGTCTAGACACACCCTCAGGCACTGGGTATTGTTGGTGTAAGGTGAGCAGGTGACCACTAAGGGTGCTTAGTCAGGATTCCTGCCTGTACTGACACTGCAGACTGCGCTATGGATGGAGATCCTGGTGCTGGCCACTTCCAGGGTGTAGTGCAATCTCCCTGCCAGTCCTGCTTAGTGCACCTGCCTGTCCTGAAACCGTGGACCATGCTAAGCTCTGGGTCTGGCTCCTTTGTAGAGACATGCAAGTGGCTCTGTGCACTGCTTTGTCTCCCAGCTCCATGAGCTACCCCTCCCCCCCCAGCTGCCAGCCAGGTTGGAACTTGGGGTGGGGGTAGCCCTCTGAAGTGGCCCACACTCTAGTCAAAAGATATAATTATGCTGGGTTGCAAGCATCAACAGTTTTCTTCACTGGAACACGAGAAAAAAAAAAGTTTGAAAACCACTGCTCTACAAGAATTTACTGTGGCCTTGTGGCTTCAAGTTCCACAAACTGGTTAATACCCACCTATTCTATAGTAGTAAGGTGTGAGAACAGATGCTTTGGCATACTGTCTTCCTCCCAGAATCTCCCCCAGCATTCTATGAATCTGCTCCTGTGCTATATTTGTGTTGCCATTGCCTACAAAAACAAAATGGACAAATTAACGCACCAGTGTACAGGCCTGCAATCTTAGAAATCTTAGGAAATGCCACAGAAAATTGCATACGGAAAGCCAACTGTGGGATAAAAACATTTCTGTAGAATGCTATTGTTGTTCTGCTTTCCCAAACTACATGTAGCTCCACCATGGCACATACCATGGAGGATAGCACATACCTCAAAAAGATGGGGAATTAGGAAGGGCAAATTACACTTGAGTGAACCTTTACTTTTTACAAGTATTACCATGAGATTTTCATATCAATGCAGGACAGATAGAAAAACAGTTTTTAAGGTTTCTTTTTTGTGCTAAATATTATTTTCAGTTGTTCAGTAAGTTAATAAACTTTTATATTATGCTAATAGATAACCCTATGAAAATGCTAGAAGAAATGCAGCAACTGCCAAGCTGTTAGTCCTCCATAACTAACAACAAATGGTGGTGTCTCTCCTAAAATACTGACCTTTACGCTGTACCTGCTGACAATAGCGCTCATGAAACCAAGGGATCTGAAACTCTGGGCATTCCAGACACACGGCTCTGTTCAATTCCATCAGGCGGAGCCGGACTCTCCAATTTAAGGATTCTGGTAGGGCTGAATTTAAAAAGTCAGCTAAAACATGGGATATCTGGAGGGGCCTTCAAAGTGGCCACTTAATTAACTGAGAAATAGCCTTTTAGCTTGTAGTGCATGAATACACTTAATTTAAGAATCTTACAAAAAATGTGCAAATCCATCAACTGGAAATTTTTCTTTTTAACTTGGCAATAAGGAATTAGAAAAATGCAGCCATTCAAAACATCTCTTCTGAATTTTCTACCCATCTGCTCTGACCTAAATGGTAGGGAGCAGTGTTCCCTGTAAGCTGTGCGCCTGTGCAGCCCACCTGGGACAGAGTCAAACGCTACCCAACTGATTACCACAGCACCCACAGCAAAGTTTAGATCCTGGATATGAAAAATGAATAACCACTCTGAAAATGTTATGGGAATTCCATTATTAGGACAAGCTATCTTCAAACAAACCCTCCACAAAATCCTTGATGATTATCAGATTCCCACTGTGTCTTTTAAACACAATACATTGACCTTCCCCTCCATCCCACCAAGCATTCCAACTATCAACTGAATCAAGTTGTATTTGAGAAGAGGTTTTCCAGGAAGGCTCAGTTACTTACAATTAATTCTATTTCTATGTTAACATACTTATCTACATGTCATGTTGTGCCACATTCTACCCAATCAAAACTGAACAGACAAAAGTAAGCAAAAGTATTTAATTTGCAAAGTTTATAACTGAATAGAAAAACATAAGAACAGCCATACTGGGTCTGACCAACGGTCCATGTAGCCCAGTATCCTGTCTTTCAACAGTACCCCTAGAGAGAATGAACAGAATGCGTAATCATCAAGCGATCCCACTCCTGTCACCCATTCCCAGCCTCTCAAACAGAGACTAGGGACACCATTCCTACCCATCTTGGCTAACAGCCACTGATGGACCAATCCTCCATGAATTTATCTAGCTCTTTTTTGAACCCTGTTAAAGTCTTGACCTTCACAACATCCTGTGGCAAGGAGCTAACTGGCTACAAACTAAACTTTAATCTAAAAAGCAAAGAACTTTTTGAAGAGCTAGCTTTATAAAAGTCAGTGTTTCCTAACATAATTACTTCAACTACTTGTTGTGAAACAATGGTCATTCTTTGCAGGATCAGGGCCTACCTTTAGGCAAGATACAAGTGGGTTTGCAAACCAACAGCCAGGATGGGGGAAGAAGCACAAGGGTAAAAATAGAGATATATGGCTAACTCGACCAACTATGGTACAATTTAGCAGGTTGAGTAAAATTACAGATTGCTACTTGGCATGAGCCAGCTGGCTCAGCAGATGGGATGAAAACTTGAATTTTAAGTATATTTTCACTTGAAGGGAAAATATCTGAAAAGACACTCTTCGTTTAATGACTTACCAAGGCAGGAGTCCAGGAGTCCATGTTTTCCCTACTTCAATGGACATCATCATGACATAAACAAGCAGAAAACAGCACTTCCTGTCCTGCTCGAGTGCTGATGTAATAAGATTTTGCAGGGGGAGGGGAATGCTTTAGGACAGTGGTCTCCAACCTTTTTACACCCAAGATCACTTTTTAAATGACAGAACAAGCCAAGATCTACCGCCCGCCCCTTCCTTGAAGCCCTGCTCCTTCCTTAAAGCCCTGCCCTCTCTATTCTCCTCCTCTCCATCACTTGCTATCCCCAACCATTATACTGCTGCTTTTTTTCCCCCCCAATTCTTCTGTAGGAAGAGGTTTTTTCAACATTTGGCCTGTCTACACTGGACCAAATGTAAAAAAAAAAAAAACCTCCTTTTTGAAGCTCCCTTATTACTCGTGGAAAGCGGAATATAGGGGTGACCGAAAGAGCATGTTTGCTCTTCCACTAAAAAAAATGGAAGAACAAACGCATCCCTGGATGCAGAAGAGTTTTTCTGGGATATCTCCAGAATCCTGAAAAACTCCTGCAGTCTAGTCGTACCCTCGCTGGGTTGAGACAAGATATGTAGGCTCTGGGGTGGGAATGAGGGATTTGGGTGTGGGAAGGGGTGAGAGGTGCAAGCTCTGGGAGGAAATCTGGATGCAGGAGGAGATGGAGAAGGGGTCACTGGCTCGGGGAGAGGGCTCCTGGCCGGGCAGTGTTGGGGTCAGATGTAGGGTTGGGGTACTAAGCAAGCCACAGGCCTGTGGATGTGAGGGTTCAGGAATTTGGGTTGGGACATGTGAGGAGCTCAGGGCAGGGGGTTCCAGTGTATGATAGGCTCAGAGCTAGGGTCTGGGGGAATGGAGTGCAGGAGCGTTATGATGCTGTGGCCAGATGGGAGCTTCGCCCCAATTGGGGGTTTGTTAGCCAGGCTTCATTTTTTAATAAAATACTATGTCACACACAAAACGTTTCTGCAGTGTCTTTATGAGAAGGGCAGGGAACCTGTTTTGAGTCAGGGGTCACTGACCCAAAGAAAAGTCATTTGGGGCCACACAAGTGAGATGCAAAAAAATCCCACCAAAAAAAAAAAAAACAACCCAAACACCACCACATTCCTCCAAACCCCCACCCCTCAAGCCTCACTAATGTGGCCCCAACTGTGCTGGTGGGAGCAGGGGACATGGTACAGGTAGTCCCCGAGTTACGTGGATCCGACTTATGTCGGATCCGTACTTACGAACGGGGCTCTCTCGCCCCAGAGCTCGCAGGCAGCGGGACCGCCCACAGCGCAGTGGTCCCGCCACCTCGACCTCCGGGGAGAGAAAAGCTGCTCCGGGTGCCCCTGGTCTGCTGGGGACCGTCTCCAGCAGACCAGGGACACCTGGAGCAAAGCCGGGGAGGCGGAGGGGTCCCGCGCCTCTGAGGCTTTGCTCTAGCAAAGACTCAGAGGC